TCAGTTTCCCGTGACCATGGGTGCTGTACTCGTAAAGCACCCGAAACGTCGAGAATTAATAATAAGTAAATTAAACGCGATAAAATCCGTAAAATTAGTTTTATTCAATTACTAAGAATACATAAAATTATATGTAATTACTAGTGATTCTTACCGTGTAGTGACGCTATAAGATTATCCACTAGCCCATATCATCCCGTGGGTGTCGTAAGAGGTGACAGAAGAAATTGAAACAGGTAATGAGCAGCAGCATGTTCTTGATAACATCTCAAAATAATAAAAATCTGCGGTTGCCAAACCGCCCGCCAAACTTGGCAACTATGGCAAAATCTCCCTTATGAGGCAATCTATGGGGAAGGCCTATGTTCAGCAGTGGGCCTTTATAGGCTGTAATGGATGGATGGATGGTATCCCCCCGGATTCGCACGGGTGATTTCTGGATCTCAACAACAATCATAAGTGATTGTTGTCGAGCTTGTGGTAAGCCGGGTCCAGCTATAGCTAAGAACTCTTAACAATGTCATCAATTTCGGTCAAGCCGTTTAGGAGGAGAAAAATAACGAACACACGCACACTGAAATTTTATATATAAAGTAGCGATCCACCACGGCTCCGCACGGGTGATTTTTGGATCGCGACAATAGCGCTACTTACCGGGTCCAATTGTGAATCTAAACCATTCTCGAATCAACTTAATCAAACACACAAATTTTTATCAAAATTGATCCAGACGTTTAGGAGGAGTTCAGTCACATACACACGGACAGAATAACTTTACATTTAAAGATATTATTCGCTAACACAAGTCTATAGCGTACACTTAAGTAATTATAGAAAATACTATTCTTACCCATTGAGTTATATGTACTACGTACTAGAGAAGCCATTCCAAACAAAAATTGTGTCCTACTCTATGTCTTCGCGCATGTGCGACTACTACTCCCGCGCATGCGCGAAGACTTTAATTTAATATAAAATAAGATATTAATATAAAATAAATATAAGAATTTAATATAAAATATCTTAATTTAATCTAAATTAACATATTTCTAAATAAAATGTAATAATAATAATTTTATGGAATTCACAAATCTTAAATTTACGCAATATTTAGTTTGTATGGATTGCACTACAGTTCAGTTGAACATAGTCAATGTTCGGAATGGCTTCTCTAGTACGTAGTACATATAACTCAATGATTCTTACCACTGTAACAATAAATTATAAGTATAGTGTAGTTTTCATTACTAATCCCTTGTTCATAGATTCGTAGATCATACATATTTAAAGGGTTGTTAGATCAACAGTCTACTTTCTAAAAGGTTAAATAACTTCGGTACATTTCGCTTTTACCGAGGCCTCTATGTCGAGAACTCTGAGTGAGTTACAAAGGGAATCTATTCTGGTGCGCTTAACAATACGTGTTTGATCTGACGCTTGATGGATTGAACTCCGCTAGTATTCTGTTTGCCTGGTACCTAATAAATAATACAGATTTTTTTTGAAATTTTAATACTATTATAAAATCAGCTTTTTTAGGTACAAATTATATATTGTTGTAGAGAGGCTTTGATGGATAGATAAAAAATTTAAAAATAAACTATTTAAAAAAATTATAATTTTTTTAAGTTTTTATTTTTTCGTAAAACAATAAAATCAAAATTCCTTAATCCTACCCGTAATCTGTGCGCCACGGTGTGCCCACCAATCAAGTTAAATAAACGTTACCAGAACTATTTTATTTTATAAAAATGGTTGAAGTATAATATTCTAAACCGTAATAATAATAATAAGTAATTGCGGTATGAACTACTTACAATTCAAATATCATAGCTGTGAAGTATCACAAAAATGACATCGAAATAAGATATAGATACTTAAAACTAAGTTAAGAATGAGAGATTCTGTGATAAAAAGTAAACACCGATAACAAAACGCTAAAAATTATAAAATAATTTCGACTTACCAGCTTAAGAATTCGATGCCTAAAGCTTGTATTAAGACTTTTTTTTATATAAGATCGGGTGACAAACGAGCACACAGTCCACCTGATGGTAAGTGGTTACTGTGACCCATAGACATATACATCTATCCTCAATAAAGACTCAAGATGCAGATGCGTTGTCACCCGTGAGGACTAAGATGGAATACCTCTTTGCCAGTAAAAAGGGTCTCCGGTTCTCTACACTCACCATACGAAACACAGCAGCGTTAAACTGCTATTTTACGCTGGTTTTCTGTGAGAGCGTGGTCCTTCCCCGGTCGAGCCGACCCATTCGTGCTACAACTATAATATAGCTGCAGCATGGCTCTACCACGTAAAACTTAATCGGGAATTTTTTTCTTCAAATTAATATTTAATTATTTTCCCTATCTCAAACAACATTTCCAATTTCGCAGTTAGTCTCATAACATTTCCCTTCGGTCCATAGAAAACCTTTCCCTTCTATGTCCCTTACAGTTCTCTACTTTTTACAGTAAATCTATTTCGGTTCTTGGAGTCAAGCTTTGGAACTCCTTACCGTTAAATATAAAACGTGCTCAAACAATAGACTCCTTCACAAACAAGTTAAGAAAGATTATCTTTCCTTTTAATTTCTCCCCCCCTCTTTTCATCTCTTCCTGACGCTTTATTTACATTTTATGACGCTTTATTTTATTATATTTTAGATTGTAATATTATTTATAGTACACGTTACCCATTAATTAACTTTTCACTCCTCTTTATTTTCTTATTAGGTTGTCTGGAAGAAATTGCTATATAGCAATAAGACCGCTTTTTATTTTTCTCTCTATTGGTTTATTGTAATATTTTTTTTGTGTACAATGAAGGGTATTATATTGTATGTGACTACCTTTTTTAAAAAAATAAGGGCGGCAAACGTGTACACAGTCCACCTGATAGTAAGTGGATGCTGTGGCCTATAGACATCTATATCTGTCTTCGATTAAGAATCAAATGCAGATGCGTTGCCTCCCCTACGGTTTAAGTTCGAATGCCTCGTTTCCAGAAAAAGGGTTTTCGGTTTTCTACACTCACCATACGAAACACAGCAGCATTGAGCTGCTATTTTACGCTGGTATTCTGTGAGAGCGTGATCCTTCCCCGGTCGAGCCGACCTATACGTGCTACAACCATAATATAGTTGCAGTGTGGCTCTACGACGTAAACTTCTAAAGTATAACCTATTTAACAAAAAAACAGAATCGTTATATCATTGAAATTGGTTCACAATTGACGAAGATACCACGTAACATATATACAAAAAAGAACAGAGAGTCGAATTGAGAACCTACTCCTTTTTCAAAGTCGGTTAAAAATAGTAATTTTCAGTTTAGCATTTTAGTATTGCGGATTGATCACGGAATCATTATATGCACACGGGTTCAATGAAAGCTGCAAGTTTTTGTTGGTTATAGTTACGGTCGAACCTCAAGCCCTCGAAATATCTCTCTATTCTCATACGCAAGTTGTACAGTCAGGTAGTTGTTTATTTAAATATTAACTTGATTACCCTTGAGTAGCTCCACTACCTGGCTGTACATGAATAAGGTAGTAAGGACTATTAGCCCCTACATACCCTTAGTTCTCTATACCTAGCCGGCCCTATCATTCCCTAATACCCTAGCCCTACCATATAATAAATGTATATACATAAATTAGATAAGTACGGTATGTCTGCACCATGAGATCAAAGGTAACAGACGGATATAAACAGGATGTTAAGGTTAGGTGATGGGTTTCTTTCACTGCCAGTCAAGCAGACTCACAAGCTAGTCACGCAGACTGCAAACTCACAAGACTGATCAGAGGTTCTGACAGCTAAAGGTGTCTTGGCCGTAGTGAGAGGGAGGTCTTACCAGGAGTCTTGGTGTTAATAACGAAGACGTCGTTCAGCGTTGAAAGAGGATTTTATTAACAAATCATTAAAGTTTATACAATTGCATTGAGTTCAATGTAGTCACTGATTTAAGTAATATCTAAGGTTATTCAGCAAAAGTATTAGTGTACTTGAGTTCTGGTAACGCGGTCACAGTGTCGCTGCGTTGCAATGTTCAGACCTGAACACAGGTTTCTTCGCGATGTTTTCTTTTATCTTAAAGCCCGAGGTAAATCAACACATAAAATTGCAAGCCACTAGAAATTTTAACGTGACCTAATGGTATTAATTACACATAAAAAAGATACAAATTTATTATAATAAATAGCCTAAAAGTTTTATGAATATCTAACCGGAGTCATGAAAATTGAAAAAAAAAGAGTTGTTTTGATATACGGGTTCTGTTAATAAAATAATAAAAAAATAATATTTTACGTAACTTATTATACACATAATATATTTCACATTCAATTTGGGATAATCTATACAAGTAAAATTGAAGTGTCTGTTTATAATGTCAAAATTACAGCTTTATACTAAATGCATATGAAAGTATATACGGTACTATTAATAAAAATACAATTTTTAAAGTTTTTGTCTGTCTGTCTGTCTGTGCGTCTGTCTGTCTGTTTGTTCCGGCTAATCTCCGAAACGGCTGGACCGATTTTGACGGGGTTTTCACGGGCAGATAGCTGATATCGAGGAGTAACTTAGGCTACTTTTATTTTAGAAAAAGAATTGAAGTTTCGCGCAAAAAAATTAAAACCCCAAATAACACACGGGCGAAGTCGCGGGAAACAGCTAGTTTCAAATAAAAGTAGAAGCCTTATTTACTCGTATTTTCAAAAACTGCATTTACGGTATATCATTATTCTATATTTCAACTTAACTTTAAAATTTGGCTACTCTTTGAAAAATAATTCTGTATATTTATTACTAAAAAAATATACCACTGAAAACTTGTTTTTAATCCTATTTCTAAATGTGTTAGCTCTAATATCATATAATTTATAACGAGTAGTTAACCTCTGAGCTACCACAGCTCTGCAAGTTTTAATTAACGCCTAATTTTAATCACGCCTTAAAGTTTTATAATGATTTAATTTTCTATTGTTTCAGAGTAAATATGTTCGGACGCGTAGCAACGGTTTTGATCCAGTTCTTGATTCTAGCTAATGCTTACGCTCAGACTGGTGAGTAAGAGTTGTTCACTATTTTTATTATTCACTAGCGACTCGCCTGCACGGCTAACATGGGGATAAAAAAATTATCCAAGGATTATATCCACTGACAAAGGTTAAAACTATCTTGTCCTTATGCCAAATAACGACAACGGGGAGAACTATATCCCCGTTTGACATTACGAGTCCGTTGACGTTTGACGTCCGTAGCATGGAGCCAAATGTAAGATAAGAATTATGTTTTTTTGATATTTGAAAGGGACAATTTTATCCTAGTTCATTAGTGGGTTTAATATAAAATTCATACAAAAAATCTATCTCTTTCCCCGTGGATAAAATTGTCACCTGCCTATGCAAGCCCGACTGGATGGGATGTACCATTGGGGTATCATTTAGTTTTTTTTTTTTTTAAATACTCATCAATGATCATTTGTTTTATTAATTTTTAGATTTCACAACACTATGCAACTCCAAGTTTTTGGGACAAAATATACCTACCTTAGATTACTCCTGAGAATTTCCTGTCAAAAAACTTAATAAACGTTTTTTTTTTTGGCCCAGGACCTCTTGATCAGCAGACGCGTTTACACCTCTAGACTAACGAAGCAATCAACCAAGTCCATTGTGTTAGTTTGATATCAAAACAATGGCTTTGATAACTTCTTTCATTTCATCCATTAAAGGCTCCATGTGTTGACTATCTGGGTTTTTCTGGTCGGTGCTCTTCTTTCCGCTAATCTTTTCAGGTGTCATATCGTTACATATGCGTTAGATTTATTTTTATTGCTTTCATTTGCTCATCGAATATTAATTTATTCTTCTCATATTTGCACTGAAACTCCCACAGACTAGAAAACTTTCTCGACCCACGATCTTCCGTTAAAATGCAGCTAGTTCTGCTCGTTAGCTTAAACTAATTTAGTCTTAGCTTTAACTACCTGCGTAGGTACTTGTCCAATTAAAACAAAATGTTATCTGTATATAATTTATCGCATTTTTATACTGGGCTTAGTAATAGTAGCTTAGATCAAATTTGGCTAACACTAATTGTAACAAAAACTAAAATAACTACAATAAAACCTATAATTTATTTTATTAAAATAAAAAAGATATTAAAGTTTTTGTGTCGTTAAAATTAATCTATATCTGTAACAAAATTGTAGTGTATGTTTATGATATCGAAGTAACTGTCGTGTATTGAGTTGAGTGGGTAATTAGCATGCCAGTATGATATGCATTACTATTTTTAAAATATTTGTCTGTCTGTCTGTCTGTCCGGACGAAGATAGAGAGCAAATTCAAGAAAGATCTAGGCTATATTTTATCGAAATAACTTGGATATTTTTTAAAATTAAAAATTTGATAGTATAAATCATTTTTGATGTTTATCTTTAACCTAAATAATGTCACATTAATAGATCCTACCCAAGCGAAGCCGGGGCGGGTCGCTATATTATTATTTATATTATTATAAGGGCATCTAACGCTCCCTTATAAAAGATTTTGATAATGAAACTCTGATCTCATTGTTTTACAGAAACTGAGCCCCCCACAACTTTAACAACTAAAGCACCTACTACCACCACCCCGTCCACCACTACAACCGTAGTGTGGGAGACGGAGACTCTGAACGAGGGTCAAGCTATACAGAAGGCTCTGCAGTATCTACTTCAGCATCGTCAACCAGACTGGGGATGGGGAAACGATACCCACCATGTCATGCTTACTTTACAGGTATGATATCGTCATTTCAGCTTTTATATAAATCGTTAGATTCAGTCCCTGCAACCAAACAAAAAGAGCCCACTCTTTTTTAAAAAGGCAGTGGTCATTCACTATCAGGTGACCCATATGCTCCTTTGACCCCTCTTAAAAATAATTTTTTGATACCAGTAATAATTGTGTCTTCATTTCGAATTCTAATGTTAGATATAGATTGGCGTTGTGTTTATACCGCCATCTGTCGTAAACCATAAGATTTGTGGGAGTTTCCTTATCACCACCTCCTACGATAACCACGGAACCAAATGGGGTAATTGATTACGTAGCAACACCACTACAGGGCACACTATCACATATTACGTGGTAGAGCCATGCTGCAGCTATATTAGTAGTATAGTTGTAGCACGAATGGGTCGACTCGACTGGGGAACCGTGTTGTAGTGTTATAAGTGTGTTGGATGCTATCATCTGTTAGCTTGTAAGCATGTATCTAATAATAAATAAATAAATCTAACGAAAGTCGCAAAGATACTTTTATTTTACTTTTTTTTGTATAATCTGCGTAACTCATTTTTATTTCTTTTGTAGCTGGCTAACAACACCGGCAAGGAAATCGAGCAACAAGGCCTGGAAATGCAGCTTTCGGCAAAACAGATGGAAATCGAGATATTGTTAATGATGTCGAAGTAAGTAGATTCTGTATTTAACATTCTTCTTCTTATTTACCGGCCCGTAACCCGATATCATAGGTGTTCTAAGAGGTGACAGAAAGAAATTGAAACAAGAGATAGACAGCATATTATTACTAATAACAACTCAAAATAATAAAAAACTGCGGTTACTACTTAAGTAAATATTTTTCTATAAGGAGAAATAGAAAGCCATTCATGTTTAATTTACTAATGGTTCGGAAAATACCTCTCTCTGTCCTGGAAAGAACCAGCAACATACCCAGCGGGACATTTACAAAAAAAAAAGTTTACAATCATGTAGCGACCACCTCATTCCCTTATAGGAGTAGAATCTTTATATACATATAATTCTTTTATACATGTGTTTGTTACTGAACTCCTCCCAAATAGCTGAAACGGTGTTGATGAAATTTTTGTGTATCTTTGAGTGGGTTCCTGGAATATTCAGATTCACAATTCGAATCGGTAGATGGAGCTGTTATCGAGATTCAGAAATCAGCCGGGGCGAATCTCTAGTGCTAGCACACACCAGAGACAGGATTATTTATATAAATTATTTTACACCACCTCTACACATGTGATGCACACACCAGAGGCAGGATTATTTATATAAATTCTTTCACACTACCTCTACACATGTGATGCACACACCAGAGGCAGGATTGTTTATATAAATTGTTTTACACCACCTCTACACATGTGATGCACACACCAAATGCAGGATTGTTTATATTAATTCTTTTACACTACCTCTACACATGTGATGCACACACCAAATCCAGGATTGTTTACATAAATTCTTTCACACCCCCTCTACACATGTGATGCACACACCAAATGCAGGATTGTTTATATAAATTATTTTACACCACCTCTACACATGTGATGCACACACGAAATGCAGGATTGTTTATATAAATTCTTTTACGCCGCCTCTACACATGTGATGCCCACACTGGAGGCAGGACTACTTATACATGCGATTCATAACACAGGCACCACGAATCGCCTCCCCCGCTGGGACGCCTCGCCGCGTACACACTGGCGCTTGGCGCTCTCTGCAAGGATCCGCGCTCGTTCCACGGCCGTGACCTCGTAGCGGCGCTGTTGCACCGCGAGCCGCCCCATGACCTGGAGTTCGCGTACGCGACGCTCGCAGCCTGCTCGTCCGCCGCGCATGTGCGACGCCGGCATATACGCCGCTTGCTTGATATCGCGAACGCAGCCGCAGACCATAGCCTGGGTAATGATTTATTATACATATATTTAATGATAGCGAAATACTTATACGGATTTCATTGTCTTTAGTTATGCATAATTTGCAAGTTTTAATAAAAATGTTATGAACTATCACACTTTCTAGCAGTAAACAAGGGTGAATAAATTTCGAAACGTGTCTTTCAGCTTTTGCAACTATGAAGAAAAGGCCATAACATCATTTAAAAATGTAACATCACTACTAGAAAGAAAGGATACGGAACAGTACCAACAACCTCATAATTAAACATTTTGCTCACTTGCTGATCAAATAGACTGTTCTTGTCCGTTTTTTATCAGTAAATTAACAATCAATAAAAAAAATATTGTTTTATTATAAGAAAACATTAAGATGAACATGGACAAAACCGGCCGGTATGCCGGTAGTTGTTGGGAACACTAAGCTCGAAGTTGTTGACGAGTATGTTTACCTGGGACAAATAGTCCGATTAGGTAAGTTCAACTTCGACCGAGAGGTCAATCGACGGATTCAACTCGGTTGGGCAGCGTTCGGGAAATTACGGCACATCTTCTCGTCAGGTATACCTCAAAACTTGAAAACGAGACTGTACACCCATTGCGTGTTGCCAGTGATGACATACGGAACTGAGACGTGGTCCTTCACTACTGGCCGGATGAGGAAGCTCAAAGTCGCTCAGCGAGCTATGGAGAGGGCTATGCTCGGAGTTTCTCTGCGTGATAAACTCAGAAATGAGGATATTCGCAGTAGAACTAGAGTGACCGACATAGCCCAACGGATTAGTAAGCTGAAGTGGCAATGGGCCGGCCATATAGCTCGAAGAACCGACAACCGATGGGGAAGAAAGGTTCTCGAGTGGCAGCCTCGTACCGGCAGGCGAAGTGTAGGGCGTCCCCCACTAGATGCAGTGACGACCTGGTAAGATATGCAGGAAGTCGATGGATGCAGGTGGCTCAGGACCGTGCTTTGTGGCATTCCTTGGGGGAGGCCTATGTTCAGCAGTGGACTTGTGAAGGGCTGTAATGATAATGATGATGATGATAAGAAAACAAAGTAAGTTGGTACAACATTGTAAAGTTTCTTACAGAAATCAAAGCGAATAGCAGGTTTTTCTTTTTAAAATCAGTGAAAGTTGTTGAAAAAATAAATAGCCATGTCAAAATGATCACTAAGGAACAATCCAAAGAAATGTAATCGTAATATTTATTTTATTTCTTATTTATTTATTTCATAGTGGGAGAAGCGGTGTGTAACAACTATTCATGTTTTGTTCTTGTAATAATAAGAAACCATGTAAAAATATATTATATTTATACATACTCATACATTTACTTAATATACCCATAATATACACACATATATAAAATACCTAGAAGGATATAATAATAAATTAAAAATATATATAATAGTATCTACTAACATATTAAGTAATTTCTACTAATCCATGATGACTCTGTAAAATCTAATTAATTAAATTATTATTATGGGGTATGTATAAAGTTTTCTCATCTGGTTGGGCTGTTATAAATATATAATTGTAAATGAAAATGATAAACATACATAAATATCAATAACATTAAATAAATACAGAAAAAATACATAAATAAATAAAAACCCAACCAGATGAAAGCCCTCGGCAGGGGAGACCAAACGGCCGAGGGTTAGGGGTAAAGGGAAAGAAACCGGCGGACGATGCGGGCGGTAACGAGGACCACCGCCTTCTGCATTTGAGCTTGGAGCGGTCCGTCACAGAGTCCCAGTCGCCTCAGATGACCCGAGAGGCTGACTGGAATTAACCCATTCGCAGAGACGACTACAGGTATAATTTCGCCCGGCAGTCCACCCCACATGTCGGTCACCTCGTGAGCCAGGTCCAGATATTTTGTCAGCTTATCTGTTTCGGCTTTCACGAAGTTCTCGTCATAAGGAATGGTAATGTCGACCAAAAATATCCTTGACTGTGCCCGGTCCATCAGCACAATATCAGGCTTATTCGCAAGAATAGTCCTGTCTGTGATGATGACCCGGTCCCAGTAGAGCCTGGCGTGGTAATTTTCGAGTATGTTTTCCGGCAAGTACTTATAATACGACAGTTTCTGATCTACGAGACCGTATTTCAGAGCGAGCTCCTGGTGTAGAATCCTAGCTACTAAGTTGTGCCTGTGCAAATACTCAGAGTTAGAAAGCGCCGAACAACCGGAGATGACATGCCTAAGTGACTCACCGGGATGGCGACAAGTTCGACAGACGTCGACGGTGCCATCCTTTAGGATGTATCTCCGATAATTGTTGGTCTTATTAACCTGATCCTGTTCGCACAGACAAAACCCTCGGTTTCGCCAAAGAGGTCACCGAAACGTAGCCAGTGGAGGGAGGCGACTGTGTCTACGAAAGGCTCGTGTAGAGCCTTGTAGAACCTCCCGTGGAGCTCCTTCTCCTTCTATACGATCTCCCGGTCGGAAATGCTCTGTACTGCCGGGTCCTGCCATTGCTCGTTGGCTAAGGATAGAGGGGTAAGTCCTTTATCACAAGAAATAACGCCCCTATAGAACGGAGGCTGCACACTTCGCGATTATGCATGGTAAGCGCGCTTAAAAGCCACGCCCACCATGTTTCCGCAGCAAGTACAGCCTCATAATCGACGATCTCGGGTGATGCATCTTATTGGACGTCATAGTAGTGCGGACTTTTCTATCCAGGGCGTTTAGTTCGGTCTGAGTCCACCTGAGTATGCCAAAGGTATACATGAGAATAGGCATGATCCAACCGTTATATGCGTGCGTCTTATTCACACCGGACAAAAGGCTGTTAAGCACTTTGGTCAAGCATGCATAAAACACATCGTAAACTGACTGTTTCATACCCGCCTCATCTACACCGAAGTTCTGTGACATACCCAGGTATCGGTATGTTTCAGCCTAGGAAAGGGTGCTTTAATTTTTTTCTTTAAAATTTAATTTATTATTATTGTTATTATTATTACAAATGGTTTGTAGGGATTGGCACTAATAACGATTAAGAAATGTTTATTTATTTTAACAGACACCATTTCCATGGTTATCCTGGCTCTTCGCTGCGTTGTACAAGACCACCGTCACCGCAGCCTCATCCACTTCGTCCGTCGTCCCATGGCAGGGCTGGCGCGCCAGCAACACCCTGATGGTAGCTTCGGATCCCTCACAACTACTGCTCTCGCTATACAGGTTAATTTTACTTGATACTTATTATCGTTATTTTTTTAATGGAAAATGCCGCTGAATAATTTTGCACATACAGGTTTCTTTAGACTTTTTACCTCACCTCTGACTACCTAGTAGTTACACTTGATTATAACCGTTTTAGTGATACTATGGAAAAAGTTACCCCCTTATAAGAAAATACTTTTTTGGTACTTTTTGGCTTTTCTATATCAACTTGTAAATACCTTACGATCACAACCCGTAGTTGGAGTATCACGATAGATCTCATGGTACTTCTATACAGTTTCATTGAAATTTATGTTCAATAACATAATTTAATGGAAGAGAGCGTCTATGTGTTTGTGGTTTGTCACCGCCAGGCTCTGAAGGAGTCTAAGGCTATAATTAAAAATTAAAAATTTTGTACAGCCGACTTCAATATAAGTTATTAAGAATAACTCAAATAACTCAAAAACTATTGGTCTGACCTTGATCAAATTCATATGGGACTACACGAGAAGTATCAGCTTTCATATAAAAAAAGAATCATTGAAATCGGTCCACCCAGTAAAAAGTTATGAGGTAACACACATAAAAAAAAACATACGCGTGGAATTGAGTACCGTCGCCTTTTTGGAAGTCGGCAGAAAATTAGTGTATCATAATATGGTCTAGACTCAAATTTTAACATTGTGGAGTTATAAGCTTGAGAATGCCTAAATTTGAAATTGTAAAATTTAAGTCTAGACAAGCTCGTGGAAACTGTCCGTGCGGTTGGAGCTAAGTTCCATCATCATCATACTCTTAATCTCATGGTTGTTAGACAGGAAATGAAGCTGCACTCTTCGGCAGATTTGACAGCATACAGGCAACTGAACAGACAGATCTACAAATGCATGCGGCGGAACTCACGCAACTTCAATACAGCTCGTATTGAAGAATCGATCGAGCAGAACCAGGGCTCCAGTCTTTACCAGAGATTTGTATGCCAGAAAGAGCCAACTGTCGAAACTGAAGACCGAATGTGGCAGCAGCGTTTCCGGAACGCCTGAGATTTTGAGTGAGATTGAGAGATTCTATGGGCAGCTGAACACATCATGGTTAGAGCCACACACAAATGTGAGTTCCTCTCACCATTCCGATTTCGATTATATTCGGGACGTCAGTCTGGGCAAGATTAGAATGGCTCTCTAGCACCTTAAAAATGGCAAGTCCCCGGGCGATGATGGAATTACAGCCGAGCTTCTGAAATCGGGTGGAAAACCATTACTAGAAGTTCTTCAGAAGCTCTTTAATTCCGTCCTCCGTGATGGCACTACTACGGAGGCATGAAGCAGAAGTGTGGTGATCTTGTTCTTCAAGAAAGAAGACAACGTTTCCTTAAATAAATATAGACCAATTTCTCGTTTGAGCCGCGCCTATGTGCTGTTTTCGAGATTAATTAAGAATCGTCTCGCACGTCGACTCGACGATTTCAAACCTCCCAAACAAGCCAGTTTTCGAAAAGTCTTTGGCACCATAGACCACACATATACCTTTCGGCAAACTGAACAGAAGACGGAGACACAATCTGCCGTTATGTCTTGTGTTGTCACTGTTGCAGTCCCTTCAGCGGTGCCAAGTTGACTGTCGGTATATCGAAGTGCTGAAGTTTTTGTACAGAAATGAGGATATCCGCAGTAGAACCAGAGTGACCGACATAGCCCAACGGATTAGTAAGCTGAAGTGGCAATGGGCCAGCCATATAGCTCGAACAACCGACAACCGATGGGGAAAAAAGATTTTCGAGTGGCAGCCTTGTATTGGTAGGCGAAGTGTAGCGGACACCCCACTAGATGGAGTGACGACCTGGTTAGACATGCAGGAAGTTGATGGATGCAGGTGGCTCAAGACCGTGCTTTGTGGCATTCCTTGGCGAAGGCCTATGTTCAGCAGTGGACTTGAAGGGCTGTAATGATAATGATGAAGTCTAGACCCTCGGACCAAGAAAGAAAAATAGACATACATTGCAAGGGACGCAAAAACCATGTTCAACTTCTTAACACGCATACATCTTTCCATAACATACCGTAAATGTTTACTACTGGACGCACAAATATGCACCAAGAACCAAGTTTTTGATTTCAAATTATTAAGATGCAAATGTGTTACGTGAGTGCGTGTTTATACAATAAATTGACCATGGTTTTGGATTGGTCTTTCTTTCTTTATTGATCTAAGTCTCGACCATAATATGTAACATAAATTTTGTCATTGCTTAAACTCAAGATAGCCCTTCGCCTCGATAATAAATGACATATTTGTGGTTACAACACCAAACTGTATCCACCGATTTTGTTATCGTTAGTTTTCTGAATATTCATATGTAATGGATAATGGAGCTTTGTGTGTCTCTGGGTGGTGGTGGCAGGCGCTGGAAGAGTCGGAGAGCGGTGCGGGGGGCCCGGGCGGTGCGGGGCACCAGCACTGGAGCCTGCCGGCGGCCCGCAAGTGGCTGCTGGAGCGGCAGCACGCGGACGGCGGCTGGGGCGACGTGGCGGGCACGGCGGCCGCGGTCGCCGCGCTAACGCCCGCCTCGCTCGCCGCCGTGCGCCCGCCGCACTGCAGCGACAAGTTGCTCGACACTCGCCACGAGCCCATGGGTAACGAGAATCATCTTTACCTCCCTTAACTTCCAACTCGAAATTCCATCCACATCTATAACTGTCATACAAATTGTTTCTTTTTTATTTTATATACTTTTAATAAAAAAAAAATCTCGTTTTCGTTATGTATAAATGCCTATCATTTAAACGGTCAGCTAATTAATTCAGCCAGCAAACAACTCTAAGGAATTAACTACTAAATCTATACTACTAATACTACTAAATCGATTAGCAATTAATGTGATATTAGCAGCCTTGACATTGATGTCATAGGAAATTAAATATATCTGCAGTATCTGCTGCAGTATTAATAAGGGAACAGCAAATTTTGATTCGGGTTTTAAAAAAATTTTGCAAGCTGTCTGTTACGACTATCATTAGTAGCAATAAAGAAATGTAGATGGCGCTGGGCGATTTAAACACGGGCTATCATTTATCTCACCAGTCAAGTGTATAGTCAAATAAATCAAACATTAAAAAGAAGAAGTCAGATCGAGTACATAGTGTTTTATTGTAAACCTCTATAGTACCCAAATTAGTTCAACAGTACAGTACAACAGTGCAATAGTTCAGCAAGACCACCATTAAACACTGTCAAAGTGTCAAATTAATTTTCTTACTACAGCAACTAAAGTATGCAATTTTCAGCTGCATTATGTTATAGTATAATAATTTATTACTTTCATTAATGAGCAGACTACTGTAATTACTGTTTGAAAATAAATTAATATAAAATTAGGAAACCTACCGTAACCTAACTAATTGTGTAATCCTGATCAAATAATAATATTGTAATAAGACAATTTATTTTGCAAACATCTATGTTATTAACCTAACCCAATATCTATATATTTTCTGATAATTCTTCATTTAATTGCTAAACAGGTATTGCTGGTGGGTTTTTTTTTTACAGCCATCTAAAACATATTGTGCTGTTAAAATTAACTTTTAGCAGATTTTTTTTGCGGTGACGGTAAACAAGAAGGAACCACCATCTACAATAAATTATAATAAAAATAAATAATAAAAATAGTTTATTCAGTAAATGGTCATACATTAATTATAACCGGGGACGGGGTCTCCTTTTAAGTATAAAAGCTTGTGTTACGAGACTCGGTAATTGCAATTTGTAATTTCGGTAATTAAGGTGGTAAATATTTGTTTTTATTAATGATGTTGTATACAGTCGCAGACTGTTTTACATATTACCTCCTAGCAGTTTTAACAGTGACAGCTGTAGCTGCTACGTTTTTCCTTCTTTTGGCTACAATACAACGGTCAAACTATACCTTTATGCAGAACTGAATATAATGGCTCCAGTACACGTTGGCCGAGCGCACTCGCCGAGTGCACTCGACCAACGTGTACTGGGCCGTTTTGTATATATTTGGCGTTTGCGGCCAACGCTCGCCGACGAGCCGTATAGTGTCGGTTTTCCGTGCACAAATCAAAGGAATTTGGCGCAAGCCGCAAACAGTGTGCACACGTTGGCCGAGTGTTCACTGTTCAGTTCATAGTTACGCGTCGGAGTAGACTGTAGTGTCGGCTTGATAAAATTGTTTCAACATGGCGACATGGACTAATGAGGAAATATTTATTTATTTATTTAACAGTTTATGTATACACATAATTCGATAGGAAAATGGTAAAAACATAATTATGTACAAAGGCACTGCCTATTCCATGATGAAATTTCTTCCAGCAGGCCTATTGAAGGATAGTTGAAGGAAATAGAGGTAGTCAAAGTGTGCACTTACATAAATATACATATAAAATATACACACACACACACACACACACACACACACACATATATATATATATATATATATATATATATATATATATATATATATATATATATATATATGCATGTATATATATAAATAAATATCATATATTATGAAAAAATATTTAATTCAATATAATATATTTTTAATGTTACTTATATGCATACCAACACATTACGATTTAATAATTATGGAGTGAAATATTGATTCATTGTTCATTGATTGATCCTCACAATGAATCAGTTACATGGAACCCCAAACATGAGCAACATAAAAATAAAACCAGAGTAACTTGCCTAACTGCATTAAATAATACATGTTTAGTTGCGATTTCAGAGTACCTACCTACCTAATGATAAATATTATTATAAATTATCTCTGCGTTTATGTTGCTCAGGGATAATGTAGCTTAGGGGCTTCTTTTGGGCTATCATTTATTTTGAAAAAACCCCCAGCGAAGCGGGCACGGGTCAGCTAGTAGATCCTATAAAGGTTTCTTTTTTCCTTTTGAGGTCGGAACCCTAAAAAGGACAAATTGGGATTATTGTTGTATGTGTAGTTTTTTTTCGTTCACTCTGAGAAGAGTGAAGCGCTGTATAAGTATATGACAGCGGCCGCGATTGCCCTAACGTCCATCATCATCTAGCTACCAACGCAGAATGAAACACGCCAACGTGTGAACGGCACCACGAAAATCTGCCGAGTGCGCTCGCCAAGCGCGCTCGGCCAACGTGTACTGGAGCCAAAAGGAATTTGGCGCAAGCCGCAAACAGTGTGCACACGTTGGCCGAGTGTTCAGTTCATAGTTACGCGTCGGAGTAGACTGTAGTTTCGGCTTAATAAAATTGTTTCAACATGGCGACATGGACTAATGAGGAAATATTTATTATTTAACAGTTTATGTACACACATAATTCGGAAAATGGTAAAACATAATTATGTACAAAGGCACTGCCTATTCCATGATGAAATTTCTTCCAGCAGGCCTATTGAAGGATAGTTGAAGGAAATAGAGGTAGTCAAAGTGTGCACTTACATAAATGCGCTCGCCAAGCGCGCTCGGCCAACGTGTACTGGAGCCATAAGATGTAGATTCCTAACAGTGAGTGCATTACTTATAGCATAAAGATCTTCTGTTGGGAATCTTTTTGGCTTAAAATGCATATTTTTTAACAAATTTCTCTGTGCCCTTTCAACTTCTAAAAATTTAGTTTTAGTAGCACCATCCCATACAAAGTTTAAATCCGCCATATGTACGATTTTTCTTTTGTGCATAAAAGTTTTAATAAATAAATAAAATACAGGAATACAATATACTAAAATAGATTGAGCCAAAGCAATATATATTGGGTAAAGTAAATTTTTCGTAGTTATATTTATTAGTGTTTTAAATGTCCAAATAAGTTCCCTAAGTCTATTTATGATTAATTCAATGTGTCTATGCCATGACAAATGTTGGTCAGCTATGACTCCTAGATACTTGGTCTCGGAGACCTTACTAATTAATAAACAGCGGCAACTAGCACTTAAGGGATCATTGCATGTGTGAAGTTTTTTTACTTATCTTCACGCACAATCCCTGACGGGGTAGCCAGAGAGAACAGATCGCCAAGTGTCACGATCCTTACATATCTCTTTCGCTTCTTTCAGATTCATTATCTTCTTCATACATGCACGTCTAGGTATCCGAGTACTCTTGACCCTACCCTCTTCGAGCAATTTGCTCACATGGTCTTCGAAAGTTAGTCTCGGTCTACCTCGACACCTTTTAATATTAACTTTCGCGCTATATATTTTCTTCACCATTCGGTCTTCACTCATTCGCTCAACGTGCCCAAACCACCGAAGCACGCCCTTATCAATTTTTGTGATAAGGTCATCTTTCAAACCTGCCATATTGCGAATCTCTTCGTTTCGCTTTCGGTCGGCCATAGTAACGCCGCACATTTTACGAAGAGATCGCATCTCCACTGCATTCAACTTACTTTTATGCTTCTTCTGGCATACCCAGGTTTCGCTGCCATATAACAAAGTCGGTACCAACACTGCGTTATGTATTGCAAGGCGTGCACTCTTCGCTACGCCTTGCCTTTTGACTAACGCAGTCAGGGCACCATTGACTTTGTTCCCGGCAGCGACACGCCTGTCCACATCTAAATCACATCTTCCATCCCGGCTAAAAGCACTCCCCAAGTATACAATTTCATTTACCTGTTCTAGACATTCCTGATTTACCCATATTTCACACTTCGTTCTCTCTTCGTCCCTTTCAAATACCAATAATAATGTGTGAAGTTTAATTTGGAAATTGATGTTAGGTTGAGTTCGAATATAATTTGTTAAACATATATAACTGGTTCTTAAAGTATTTAAAGTAAGTAGGTTAAAGTTCAGCCACTTGGCGATCCTCGCAAGTCCTTCTTCAGCAGAGCTACGTACAGAATCCCAGGAGTCACCAGTAAATATTACTGCAGTATCATCTGCATAGGAGATTATGTGGCTTACCGAAAGCTATCAGATATTTCTGGCACTTCGCACAGTCACTCTTACGACACCCATGTGATGAATGTGGCTGATGGATTCGGTTCTACCGCCTACACTACACGGACTACACTACACGGGAGCTACGCATCACTACATGGCAATCATATTCGAATATGACAGCGACATAAACATTTTTTTTTTTTCAAATTTACAGACAGTAATGGCGGCGACGGCAGTCTAAAACTGGCATATCAATCTGGACACAACAATAACGATTCAGACGCGCGCAACGTTTCCTTCACATACACGCTGTGGCTTGGGACCAATGTCACTGAAAACTACACGCTGTATATGGTGGCACCAAGGTGAGACAGCAAAATAAATATAATGTTAACTATATTAACATCATATACATTTACACTGCAATTTCTACAAAGAAACTTAATGTATTTTTTTATATAGGATAGGGTGACAAACGAGCACACAGTCCACCTGATGGTAAGTGGTTACTGTGACCCACAGACATCCAAATAGGGATGTGTTGTCACACGTGAGGACTAAGATGGAATGCCTCGTTTCCAGTAGAAAGGGTATCCGGTTCCCTAAACTTACCATACGAAACACAGCAGTGTTAAGCTGCTATTTTACGCTGGTATACTGTGAGAGCGTGGTCCTTCCCCGGTCGAGCCTACCCATTCGTGCTACAACTATACTACTAATATAGCCGCAGCATAGCTCTACCACGTAAAAATGTGATCAATGATTTCTGAAACATGTGGTAAAATTAAGAATTTTGTACAACCGACTTCAATATTTATTGTTGATTTTTTTAAACCGCTCGACCGATTTTGATAATTTAGACCACCTAGGAAGTATATTCTTTAAAACAAGAAAAGGTTTTTCCAAATCGGTTCAGGCGTCTTCGAGTGATCGGTAAACATACATAAAATAAAAATTGATAACCTCCTCCTTTTTGAAGTCGGTTGATAAGTAAGGATAAATATTCGTTCATAATATTGTTACGGCCAACAGCTGCCCTGCCTCAACAGGAGTTGGATCCTTCGCGGCCCATAGACGAAGGAGCCACGGGCAGATGCAGGTCGGGCGTTCCTACGCCGTGGGTCAAAGGTTTCTAATGAACACACGAGGGGAAAGGTCACTAGAATAAATGCACTTACCTGCCCCAGGAGCGTAGACGGTTCTCCTCGACCGGCCCGGCTGATGAAAGTTGTGCTTGGTGTGTTGTGAGTGTAGGTGTAATTGTGTGTGCTGGTATGTTGACGGGAACCGATCTGGATGACTCGACGACGTCCGGGAGAAGGCACGCGCTGGTATCCCCGGAACTTCACCCTTCTGGAGGCACTCGTAAGTGGTTGTCACCAAATGGGACGGCTACTCTGGTAGTCCTTCAGATGTAAATCACTTTGATAGTTGCGCGCGAATTTCACCGAGTTAGTACGTTCTAATAACGATACCGTTATTGCAACGATTTACGCGGATTGTTCCTTTAGCAAGTTTAGGCGCGAAAAAATACGTCCGTATAGTTCGCAAGAAAAATCCTACTACCTCGCGAGAAGAGCCCCGCCGACCCGTCCGGCGGCCGGGGGGGGCGGGGGAGAGGGAAGGTGCCCTTGATATCGAGGCCAAAAGCGCGCGTTAAACTGCGTTTTTATTGCAAATTTTCCTGCCTAGACAACCCCCCGCCCCGGACATAAGGCATTAAGTCCGCGAGTAGATTGGCAAACGGGACAAGGTCGCGACGGCCCGTTGCAAGACCGAATCTCCGACCAAAACCTCGGCCACTCTAGGCACCCCATCCGTTCCATACGACAATTTAACAATGCGCCCACGGCGCCAATACAAAGGTAGCGCGTTTGGTTCTTTAATCAACACGAGGTCTCCCACCCGAGGAGGCTCCGTCTTGTCAGACCACTTAACGCGCTGCTGCAAAAGATGTAGGTACTCCAGAGACCATCGGTGCCAAAAGCGTTGAGTCATCTGTTGCAGCAGGGCAAACCTGCTAAGCCGTGAAGCACTCGTTTCCCTGAAGGGATACTCGGGCAGAGCGTTAAGAGGCTGGCCAATCAGGAAGTGTCCCGGGGTTAGAACCTCCAAATCATTCGGGTCAGAGGAGAGGGGACAGAGGGGCCGAGAGTTGAGTACCGCCTCAATTTTACAGAATACAGTGGCGAGCTCCTCAAACGTCAAAATGGCTTCACCAATAACGCGACGGAGATGCGTTTTGGCAACCTTAACCACCGCCTCGAAAATACCGCCCCAGTGGGGACACGCCGGAGGGTCGAATTTCCACTGGATGCCCCTTTTCGACATAGCATTTCCTAAATAAGTCCGGTGGCTGGACAGAAATTCGACAACCTCCTTGAGATACCTATCCGTGCCCTTATAATTCGTCCCGCAGTCAGACCGGATCAAGTCCGGCAAGCCGCGCCACGACACGAAACGGCCAAGCGTGGCCAAGAAGGCTTCCGTGCTGAGGGCGCTCACCAGTTCCAAGTGAACGGCTTTAGTGGAGAGGCACACGAAGACGCAAAGATAGGCCTTACATGAACGCGCGTTACGAAGGTTAGAGGACTTGACGAGGAAGGGGCCAGCGAAGTCTGTTCCGACCCCAGCAAATGGTCGGATGGCCCTGACGCGGTCGGGCGGCAAGTCACCCATAAGAGGCTGCGATATGGGGGCCTTCAGTTTATAACAGGGGATGCACTTAAAGATGACGCTCCGAATGGTGCGACGACCAGACAAAATCCAAAACTCCCGCTGCAAAATAGCCGACAGGGCGTTACACCCAGCGTGGGCATTCCTAACATGGTGGTGGGTTACCAGCAACCGGACAAGGGCGCCGTCCTTAGGGAGCAGCAACGGGTGTCGAGCCCCGCACGGCAGTTGAGAGTTTTTCAAACGTCCGCCCACGCGCAGCATCCCAGCGTCGTCCAGAAAGAGGTTCAGGCGGGCCAGAGCGCCCTTGATAACGGAGCCACGCTTCAAGTGTTCGATAACGGGCTCAAAATGCTCCGTCTGGACCATACGGATCCAATGCATCAGGGCTTCCCGACGCTCGCTAGGGGACAAAACACAATCAGAGAGTCGGTTGGACGGATCTCTCGAATTGTGGACAAAGCGGCGCAGCCAAGCAGTCACTCCTAAGAGCTTATCGAGAGAGCTGTACCGTTCCAGAAGGGAGAGATCCCGAGTGGGCTTATCCTTGCCCACTCCTACTCGGGCCCGTAGGCCCGGCAGCTCAGTAGGTTCGGAGTAATTACCCTGGGGCCAGAAGGATTGAGGATCAGATAACCAACCGGGACCCCACCACAATGAGTGGGCAACCAGCGCGGGGGCCTCACAGCCGCGGGAAGCGCAGTCGGCGGGATTCAACTCCCCGGGGACATGTCTCCAGTGGAGAGAAGTCTCAGAACTCTGGATTTGAGACACGCGGTTCGCCACAAAGACCTCAAGATTGTGAGGTGCGGCTCGGAGCCAACAAAGTACTATCTCACTGTCCGACCATGCGTAGACGTCCGTAATGTCGATTACAGGCTTCAAGGACGAGTGAACGTGGTTGAGGAGCCGCGTGAGAAGAGCGGCTCCGGACAGTTCCAATTTAGGGATAGTTAAACGGGATCTAATGGGAGCAACCTTGCATTTGGCGAGTACGAGATGAACTGCAGTATGCCCAGAGGAACTCACAGTCCGCAAATATACGACAGCAGCATAGCCCTTCTCAGAGGCGTCGCAAAACCCATGTAGGGTAGCCCTGCATTTCCCTGGAGGTAGGAAGCACCTTGGCATGGAAACCCGGTTGATGTCCGGAAGGGAGGAGAGCATGGAGAGCCACTCTCGCAAGAGGACCCCGCTAATAGGCTCGTCCCAACCCAACCCGGACATCCAGAGCTTTTGAAGAAAGCACTTAGCCAAAAAGATGACCGGGGTGATCCATCCATTCGGGTCGAAGGTGCGAGCTACTGTAGACAGCACGGAGCGCTTGGTCCATGCTTTGGGAGGTGGGTCAAGTTTTACTCTATACGTGAAGGTGTCCTGAACAGGCTGATATTGAATGCCCAGCACAGTCAGCAAATTAGGATTCTCAGGGTGCTCGAACAGATGAGGGTCTTGTTGATCCTCTCCTGGGAGGTCCCTCAAAATGTGTGGGGAGTTCGACAGCCACTTGCGCAACTCATAGCCTCCAGACTTCAGGATGGCAATTAATTCGTCTCGCAAGACCAGAGCCTCCTCGACGGTGGAAGCGCCCGTACAAATGTCGTCCATGTAGACCGAAGTCTCTAAGATAGAAGCTCCCCGAGCGTATCTCAGGCGCTCTCTCTCAGCGAGTTCAAGGAGGGTTCGCATGGCGATATACGGGCTGGACCAGAGTCCATAAGTGGTGGTGTTCAACTCAAATACCTGTATGGGATCGCTGGGCTTCTCGCGCCACAATATCAGCTGATATCGGCGGTCATCACGATGTACCACCGATTGGCGAAACATCATCCGAATGTCCGCGACAAAAACCACTTGGTGTCGACGGAATTGGGTCAGGATGTCGGATATGTCCTTGATCAGTTTAGGACCCGAGTGAAGACACTGATTCAGGGACACACCGTTTGATGTGGGGGCGGAACCGTCAAAGACTACCCGAATCTTACTCTCAGGGGTCCTCAAGACCGCATGGTGAGGGAGGAAGTAGTGCTCATGTGAACGCCATTCGAAGTTGGACGGTGACATGTGACCCAGCTCCTGATACTCGCGCATGAACTTGACATATTTGTCGCGAAAGGCTGGGTCACGCCGCATGCGGCGCTCCATGGAAAGCAACCTCTTCTCGGCCAGAGCACGGGATTGACCCAAAGAGGGGCGGGAGTCCAGAAAGGGTAAGCGAGTGACGAAACGACCGTCAACCCGCCGGCCGGTATTGTTCTGGTAGAACAACTCACACTCACGGTCCAGAGGGTCGACTCGAGCTGCATGGGGTGGTTCCTCAATGTCCCAGAATCGCTGGACAGCGTCCGATAGGGACACGCCCACGACGGAGAGAGGGTCGGCCGTCGGAGAGGGAGGAGACCACATAACCGGTCCAAAAAAGCTGTGCCCAAATATCGTGGAAATGGCTGACAGGCCATTGGGCTGCAGAGCTCGTATCTCACCTAACAAGAGGGCACCCAGCGTGTCGGCCCCCAGTAACAAATCTATCGGCCCCGGTTGGGCCCACCGAGGGTCTGCCGGTCTCAAAGCCGACGCACAGCGCACAGCGCTGTCATTTATACGAACGTTAGGGAGGAACCCTACAATGTCGTCGAGGACATTTACCTTGACTAAAATACGAAGGTGTTCGCTGTCAGGGCTGAACACCAACTCCGATTGTCCCCTAGGAGCAGGAGGCTCGGCACCTCCGATACCTACCATCGGACGTGATTCAGAGCTCCAGGGGAGCCCCAGTCTTCCCACCAACCGAGTAGAGGCCACACTACGCTGGGAACCCGAGTCCAATAGAGCTCGAACCGTTAAGTGGTCGCCGCTCGGGTTGTAAACCTTCACTGAGGCTGTCGGCAATAGAACAGTTTGACAGGTGGACTGCTGACGACTTATAGGCTCAGTGGAGGCGGCCATGGCGGGAGCTAGGGCGGCAGCCTCCTATCTGGAGCTGCCTCTGTTAGGCCGGCACCCGAACCGGGGGGCCCGAGCGCGGCACTCCGACGGCGTCTCGATGACCCCCGACTGGAATTCCCCGAACGGGCCGACCGAGGGAAACTCGGGGATCCTCGGCTCCAAGGCTCGGGGCCGATACGCAGTCTCCGGAACCCGGTAGTACCGGCACCGGCCAAAGGGGGGCGGGCGGCGTTCCAGTCGCGGCCACTCAGCCAACGGGGGTGAGAAAGGTCTAGCTGACCGCTGAGTGGCCGCGAATCCACTATCAACTCGGGGAGGGGGGGTGAAGACCCCCCCGCCCCTGGGGGAACGACTCCCCGACCGATCGGGGGAGGGGCTCCCTTCAGAAGGAGGGGCGCTGCGGTCCGCCAGTGAGCGCCGAGCGTCGCCCGACAGTGGGCGTGGCTGGGCGCCCCCGCCCGTGGGAGTCGGGGGGCTGGCAGGGCCCTGCGAGGACGAGCCGCGCGCACCCAGGCACAAGAGGACGTTGTGGTTGCCCTGGCAGTGCGTGCAGGGCCGCTGGTGCGGGCAGTCTCGTTGTAAATGCCTCTCCAGGCACGAGAAGCACCAGCGGCGCTCCCTGGCGATGGTTCGCCTCGCCTTAGCCGGCTTGCGCAACAACTTCGGGCACGACGCCGGCCGGTGGTCGGATGCTCGACAATAGGAGCAGGGAGGCGCCTCCCGGGCCGCTAGGCCACTATAGGAGGGTACGGGGGGGCGCCCTCCCGCGGGGGCTCCACTCGGCCTCAGGGGGGTGGGCGCCGCCTTGGCCGGCTGACTCCGCCTTTCCCTGGGCACCGCTCGGGAGGAAGCCGGGGGGCCCTCGACGGCGCCTGCTGCGTTCTCCAGCAGCCTGCACTGTTCTTCCAGGAGGATAGGCATCACGTGCTATGGGAGTGCGAATTGTATGTTGACCTGAGATGTAAGATGATGGACGGAATGGTACGCAGAGGGGTGGGTCCGGTTTACTACCCGGACCTCGTGGACGGTAAGGAGAACTTTGGCCGGCTGCGGGAGTTTGCGCATGGTTGGCATGCGCGGAGAATTGCGATGGAGAGGAACGAAGTAAGGATTCTGCCCGGAACCGAAGGCGTAACGTGTTCGTCCAGCCCAGAAAGGGAGAGTGACACTACGGGACAAGGAGTAGATTAAATAACTTGTAGAGAGTCAAGAAAGTGCATGCGGGAAAGAGCCCTGAGCAAGTACCGCGTGCATCTCTCGAGATTCGGCCCGTATAACCGTAAGGTTGGTGGGGCCATGGGAGGTGGAGGGTTGTTCTTCCAGGAACCGCAGCAGGTCCCTAAAGGGGGGCATATAAGAGGCGCCATCCCCTCCGAACCTCTCCTCAAAATGGAGCCGAAGGTCGAGGGGCAGGCGGGACAGCACTATATGAAGGAGCAGAAAAGACCACTCGTCCACAGGTAAATCCAGCCGCCGCAACGAGTTGCACGCTACGACGACTGGATTCACTATGTCTTCACGTAGTCTAGTCCGGTCCTTCAGCAGCGGGAGGTTCAGCAGCCTCCGAACATGATCGTCCGCAATCCGCCGGACGTTGGCGTACCTTCCAGCGAGGAGGTCCCTGGCGTTTTGGTAGGCGTCGTCCGACAACTTAAGGTGGCCGACGACGCTCAGGGCCTCCCCCTCTAGTGAAGCCAGGAGGTACCCCATTTTTTGGCAGGGGGTCAGGTCCCTCCGGGCGTCCACCAGGCTGTCAAACAGGCCGACGAAGGTCATCCACTCCGAGAGGACCCCGGAGAACCTTGGCAGGTCCAGCGTCGGAAGTCGTCCTAGCAGCTCTGGCTGAGCAGACGGCTTCCGCGGGGACTCGAGAAGGCTACTCAGCCGAGCTTCGCGCTCCCTCTCCGCATCCTTGGCCCCCGCCTCGATCAGGTCGTCCGTCAGCGCGAGGAACTGCTCGTAGTCCGCGCGGCAAGATTCCAGGACTCCCTTTTCCACCTCCAAGTCCTCGAGCTCAGAGTAAGCCTCCTCCACGGCCGCCCTTCGAGCATCGACCTGCTCAAGCCTCTTCCTCAGATTGTAGACCCTGTCCGGTCGGCCTATCAACGCGTGTGCGCTGGTAGCCCAGCGCAGCTCAGTCCGCAGGCAACGGATTAGCATCTTGGGCGAGGACATCACTACTAAATTCAAATTACGACGCGGCTCGAGCACAATTACAACAATAACAAATAAAAAATGCAAAAAAATTAACAGCCAACTAATGCAGCTCCTATCAAATCGAGTTGGATAGAATGTACACAAATAAGAACAGCTATTATTAAATCAAACACAAGTTAGTACAAAGGAAAAGGTAAATCAAATCAACAATAACAAATACTAGTACGATCAAATCAAGTTCATTTAAATTACGTAAATACAAATTACCACTCTTTAGTTCAAATACAATTTACAATACGAAAGATATGTAACGAAGATACACATCAACAAAAATGCCTTGCTCGGAAATCAACCCTTCGATAAGTAACACACTACCATCCGACAACGACAATTAACCGATTACGTAAAAATAACCATCTACCTACATGACGCAATCTCCCGCTTGCGCGCGAACCGGGTGTGACCTTTCAATTTTACCCGCTAACAGTAAAGCAAGCTAACAAAGGAAGGAATTTTATTATTACGTATAATAATAAAAAGGTATTTTACGTATTACGGACGGGCGTGATTGTAGCCACAAATCCACCCAACGCTCCTGCCACCAAATTATTTAATTTTTATCAAATACTATGGTCGGTGGATCGACCGGGAATCGATCCCAGCACCGCGTTCTGCTACCAAATGTTACGGCCAACAGCTGCCCTGCCTCAACAGGAGTTGGATCCTTCGCGGCCCATAGACGAAGGAGCCACGGGCAGATGCAGGTCGGGCGTTCCTACGCCGAGGGTCAAAGGTTTCTAATGAACACACGAGGGGAAAGGTCACTAGAATAAATGCACTTACCTGCCCCAGGAGCGTAGACGGTTCTCCTCGACCGGCCCAGCTGATGAAAGTTGTGCTTGGTGTGTTGTGAGTGTAGGTGTAATTGTGTGTGCTGGTATGTTGACGGGAACCGATCTGGATGACTCGACGACGTCCGGGAGAAGGCACGCGCTGGTATCCCCGGAACTTCACCCTTCTGGAGGCACTCGTAAGTGGTTGTCACCAAATGGGACGGCTACTCTGGTAGTCCTTCAGATGTAAATCACTTTGATAGTTGCGCGCGAATTTCACCGAGTTAGTACGTTCTAATAACGATACCGTTATTGCAACGATTTACGCGGATTGTTCCTTTAGCAAGTTTAGGCGCGAAAAAATACGTCCGTATAGTTCGCAAGAAAAATCCTACTACCTCGCGAGAAGAGCCCCGCCGACCCGTCCGGTGGCCGGGGGGGGCGGGGGAGAGGGAAGGTGCCCTTGATATCGAGGCCAAAAGCGCGCGTTAAACTGCGTTTTTATTGCAAATTTTCCTGCCTAGACAAATATTTAGCGGTATGTCATTCGTTGGGGTTAATCCTTAACCATCTAAAGGTCTGGAAGCATCTAATACATACAACCTCCTTTTTAGATCATAGTTTCCAGTACAAATAAGCACACAGTCCACCTGAAGATAAGAGAGTTAAGAATCAAAATACAGATGCGTTGTAACCCCTGAGGACTAAGATGGAATAACTCGTTTCAGTTTTTAAAATATAGCATGGCAACGTGACTTTGAGGAAGCCATTAATATAAATTCATTCTCCCTTCAGGAACATATCATTCTACCACGTGATGCGTATGGCGGCGGAACAGGACCCTAAGTTCAAGTTCGAGGCGAGCGAGTGGCCGAACGGACATTACGTGCACACACTAGCAGGGCACAAGGAAGAGCCGATGGGGTACCACTACTGGCTGCTGTACCGCCTGCCTGAGGTGCCCGACCCCACCAGCCCGCCTGGCAACCAGCTCGTCGCTCCTGTTGGTAAGTCTGATGCAAAGATATTATAATATACTGTCTAATGGGAAAAAAGAACATTTTTTTGTTTATTGTGGCATTGGCTACAAGGCCGTCAGCTAAAAAAGCAGTGTGTACATAGTGTCGTGAAGTAGCAGTCAATCCACTTATGTGTTTCTGTCCTACTCTGCATGATTAAACTACTTACCGTTAAATGAAATTTAAAAAAAAAAGATAAGAAAATGAACATACATAATATACATTAACTGACTTGTAGTTAAGTTAACGGAGCTGGTTACACTATAAAATATTTGATTAAGTTTCCAAACTAAGCTATTAATATTTCTTTGTTGTCCAAAATAAAGCAAAGAAAATATTTATTCGCTTACGACGATTACGGTGACTTTTTATTAAAAAATACAAAACTAATCCCTTTTCTGCAGACTTCTTCTCTACTGATTTCAAAAAGGAGACGGTAGTCAATTCGACTGTATGTTTTTTTATTCTTAATAATTTATAAATTCAAATTCATATTTCTTTATTTGCCATAAATAGAATAAGTGATAGGTTTTTTACAGTAAAAATAAGTTGCTTAAAGACCTATTTAGCCGTGGGATATGTATGGCATGCAAACTTTTTTTAAATTACCATATAATATAGTCTAAAATGTCAACTTATTAGGTGTAAGCTTAGAGTAATTACACATCTATGGGTGTAAGTTATATAATTCAAAATGTCAAAATTTACAATGTCAATGTCATAATTAAAATTTAAATACATTCAATATTTATTTAAAGGTCAGATAAAATAGTGATACGCAGTGATACACAGCAATTACGTCCATCATATGTCAACATGCATATTATCATAGAAGTATTAGGATATTATTATCATTTTGAAATTCCTTAGCACTATAATAACATTTTTTTTATTAGCCATTCACGTAACTTTTTGGTCATAAGACTCATAGAGCCGTGCTTGAACTGCTTTGGAATTTTATTAAATATTTTTACACGCATGCAATAACAACCTTTCTGATAGACAGAAGTTTTTGGTTTATGGTCTAAGACAAGCCGTTTACTATCTCTAGAGCTTCGTGGATATATATCACAAGCTGACTTAAATAACTCTGTATGTTGTTTGACAAACTTATATATTTCTAATATGTACATGCCAGGGACTGTTAATATACCCAGCTTATTGAATAGGGGCTTGCATGTATCAAATGGACCTTTGCCGCATATAGCACGTATACATTTTTTTTGTGCGATGAGAACTCTATTTACTTCAATGCTGTATATTGAAGTCGGTTGTACAAAATTTTTAATGTTTAATTATTCTTCATAAAATTGAAGCGACTTATGATTTTAAAATTCACCTAGTAGTAAGTAGCTACTGTAGTCCATAGATACCTATAAACAACTTCAAACAAAGAAAGTTACAGATTCGTTGTCACCGCTGAGAACCAGAATCGTATGCGTTATTGAACTGACTTTCTTAAATTCCAATTCAAAGCTTACCTCTCCATCTTTTGTTCCTACCTAGCCGCACTCATTAGACTGCTGTGTTTCGTGTGGTGAGTGTGGAGAACCGGAGACCCTTTTTAAAGAGGCATTCCATCTCAGTCCTCACGGCTGACAACGCATCTGCATTTTGATTCGCAAACGAGGATAGATGTAGATGTCTATGGGTCACAGCAACCAATTAGCATCAGGTGAACTGTATGCTCTCACCCTTATCCTATAAAAATAAATCATCAGTCACCACGCTTCGCAGGTCGATTGACGAACGCAGTACTGGTATTTCGTTCGTCAATCGTACGTCCAGACGTATCACGCCTTAGACACTGATCACGTTCGCGTTTTTAAGGCGACACATCGAAAACCGTTGAAGCGGGCTATCGCCGCACTGACCCGAGTGAAACATAATTTCTATAAAATTTTCAAAAATCGCCGTCATAAGTTCTAAAATTGCGTAGCGCCCGCGACGATTCAGACCGCTTAGAAATCGCTCAGAATCTTAAAATATTTTTAAAAAATTATTGATTCTAGTAATCAAAATAATGAGCAAGCAAATTACGAATATTGATGTTATGAATGTACTTGAGTGGTTCTCAAGCATATAGATTAAGTAATTTACCTATATCAAAATTCCAGTTTCATTAGTCGTGTCATACTCCTATACTGTTCGATGTAAGGAGGTGCATTTTCTCGCGGTGTCGCCTTAATTTACGGCTACGTGTTAGAATGGACTTTAAGTTCATTTGTCACTTCAGTTTTATAAAAAACAACACAACACTTAGAAACAAGTAGGCCTACATATGTCCATCATTAGAATTGAAGGATTCGTTGAGCATATTTGACCTTGTTTCTGCAGCGATTAGAAAATAACGACAATAATAATAGTGCGCAAGTGTGACATGTGCTTTCTGTCTACTGTTTTGAAAACATCGGCCAATGTATTAAGGAACAGCTTAAATTAATATAGTTCAATAAAAGCATTTACTCTTTAGACCCCTTTTTGAACTTTTTTTGTAAAAATTACGTTTAATTCTCAAAAGTATCTTATTTTAACCGGAGACCCTTTTTACTAGAAACGAGGCATTCCATTTTAGCCCGCCGGGGTGGCATCGCATCTGCGTTTTGAAACTTAATCGAAGATAAATATAGATGTTTATGGGCCTCAGCATCTATCTAGTGCTGTGTACAGTGTGCTCCTTTGTTTATACTATAAAAAATGAAGTGCCCCGGTTTATGTATTTAAAAAGTGACCAATTTCCCGTCTATAATTAGTAATTTAATTTAATATCTTTGATACCAACATGATACAATTATAATTTTAAATTCCAGGTGTTGATGACCTACTCGTGGAAGACGGGGAGCATTATTTGTTCTGGTACAAGAAGCTGTAATTTTATAGTTTTTAAATTAAACTTCTCTCCTTTAAATAACGTTTTTAGTATCTCAAGTCATCAAAAGTGAGATTAATTTTATTAGTATGATTTAGCTATAGAATAATTTACCATTGTTACTACTAAGTACCTATAATCCATTTTACCTGCATTCTTTCCTTTAATATTGAGTACGTGTTATTTAAAACTTTAAAAAAAATCGGAAAGAAACGTGAAAAATATAATTTTAAAATTTAATCAACTACGATGAATTAACTAATACATTTATTTAAGCAAGTTTTGAAGACAAAATTAAGTAGTGATTTCACAATCATGTACGTTCACTGAAAAATATATAGAAACAACCTTTATAATAGAAAAATGCAACCTTGATTTATATTGATACATTTTCCTTTAATATAATCCTGTCTAAAAAGTATGCATGCATGATAAAGCATTTTTTAAAGCGCAAAGAAACTACAGTTGAAACCGGATGACTCGGTTATTGTGACAATAAACATATTAAAAACACAAAACACAAATTAGTCCATTTTAACAGAAACCGTAAACTTTATTAACTTTTAAGAATATAGCTAACATAACAACTAACGGATATAGCGTTTGATCTTCCCTTCAATTTCTATAACCGATTAAATGTAGGTACTCGTATATTTAAATTATATTGTGAAACTCCCATTTTCTGACACTCTCCGTATACCTACTAATTAATTTCAACAAACATAATTCTGTTAAAATGTCGAGCTAGAAATTTAATACAAACTGTCGACAACACAGTTAACGTATGTAGTCAATGTGCAATTCTTAGGCACACCCCAGACTAACTAGAGATTCCACCGCATAACCTACTTATATTATAGTTTTGAGATTTAGTCATAAACGCACATTCATATAATTACTTTTCTTTTCCAATGAGACGTTTGTAATAATTAAATACGTTCTAGTAGCTATAGCGGTTTTAAGAAGTAGTGTTAATACTTAGTAAACTTTTTTAATCTTCGACGATTATTAAAATTAAATTTTTCCCAACTTTAATAATTTAGCTATAATACTTTCATAGATTTAATTGCATTCTTATCGAAACAATTGATATTATTAAATTCAGTTGCTTGTTATTTTAATAAACAAAAAATGTATGTATCTTATTAACAAAAATTATAATTTCAGTATTCAGTTTAAAATGATCTTAGGTTACGATTCCTTCACCTACTTACGTAGATATATTTTTATATGTGTATGTACGTGTTTTTATTTAAATTTAAATATTTTATTGAAAATTAGGTAAATTTTCAATGAAATATTTACTTAATTTTTTTCAATAAAATATTGAAAATAAATTTCGTTTTTCAGTAACTTATACATACATAGAAGTCTTTAATATAAAAGTAATACAGTTAATAATATGATCACACGAAGTTTATTTAAAAAGTTCATAAAATTATGGAAAATATAAAAAAGATTGGACGAAATCAGTAATGAAATGTAATGGTATAAAAACTTGGTGTTTATATGTTTGTTTTTTTTTTACATTAAATCAAATTTAAACGTGATTAGTAACAAAATCGATGTGAATTCACTTTCTGACGATCGATGGAATTAGTTATTTAATAAATTGCTTTAGATTAGAGAATGCAATTTTATGACGTAGGATTAATGTAAAAATGTTACTGGGGTAGTTTTTTCTAAGACATGTCATGTATTCTTAACCAAAGCTTAAATTTATATTAATAATCATATTAGGAGACTGAAGTGACTCAATGTTTTATGTAACAAGTACATTAGAGTAACATTAATTTTTATCGTAACAATTTAATGGTTCTTAATAAACAATAAATATTAAAAAGTCTCTTTTAATTTATCTTCACTGTAACCACGGGGATATTTATTTAGCGACTTAATTACCACAACCCTCATCACCATCATCATCATCATCATCATCATTACAGCCTTTCGAACCGGAGTAACCGACATAGCCTAACAGATTAGTTAGCTGAAGTGGCAATGGGCCTGCCATAGCTCGAAGAACCAACAACCGATGCGGAAGAAAGGTTCTCGAGTGGCAGCCTCGTACCGGCAGGCGAAGTGTAGCGCGACCCCACACTAGATGAAGGTGCGACCTGGTAAGACATGCAAGAAGTCGATGGATGCAGGTGGCTCAAGACCGTGCTTAGTTTCATTCTTTGGGGGAGGCCTATGTTCAGCAGTGGACTTGTGAAGGGTAGATCAGGACTATATCGCCGGCAAATCGAAGGTGAGTGATGTACTCGCCATTGATGTTAATACCGTATCCCTTCCAGTCCAGTAAATTGAAGAGTTTCGGAGAAATAACGTCACCAGTGGTAAAACCACGCGGCAGCTTTTGCTGTCACACGGATGGGCCGGCTCGAACCGGGGTGGTACCACGACCTCACAGAATACCAGCGTCAAGTAGAGGTTTACATCTGTGTTTCGCTTGGTGAGTGCAGGTGGCCGGAGGCCCTTTTTACTGGAAATGAGGCATTCCATCCTAGTCCTCACGGGTGAAAACGCATCTGCATTTTGATACAAATCAAAATGCAGATAGAGGATAGATCTAGATGTCTATGGGTCGCAGCAACCACTTACCATCAGGTGGACTGTGCTCGTTTGTCACCCTTATCCTATAAAAAAAACCATGTCTTACACTTCTTTGCAGTTATATAGGATAGGTTTCGTACTCTGGTTCTGTACTCGGATAGCCATCGTAGCCCTACTGTACAAATACTTCAGCACTTCGATATACCTACAGTCAACTTGGCACAGCTGAAGGGACTGTAGCACCGCCCACATTTCGATGGAATCAAGGGCTTTCTCATAGTCCACATACGCAAGTCAAAGTGGCAGATTGTACTCTTCGGTCTTCTGTACGATTTGCCGAAGGGTATGTATGTGGCAATGGTAAAATCGGCTTTTTCGGGAGGCTGGAAGTCGTCGAGTCGACGTGCGAGACGATTCGTTATAATTTTGAAAACAGCACGTAGACGCGACTCAGAGGGGAAATCGGTCTGTATTTCTTCAAGAGAATACACCACACTTCTGATGCCTGCCTCCGGAGTAGTGCCATCATGGAGGAAGAAATTAAAGAGCTTCTGAAGCACTTCAAGTACTGGTTTTCCACCCACTTTCAGAAGCTCCGCTGTAATTCCATCCTCGCCCTGGGCCTTGCCATTATCAAGGTACTGGAGAGCCATTCTAATCTCGTTCAGACTGACCTCCAGGATATCAACTGAAGACAACCATAGAATAGCTATATTTCATAATAGTTAATGAGTCATTTTTTATTTACCAGTTTCGGAAAATACCTCTGTCCTGGTAAGAAACAGCAAGAAACCCAGGAGGATTGCAGATGCGTTGCCGGCCTTTTAAAAAGGAGTAGGCTCTTTTCTTGAAGGTCCCTAAGTCGCATCGGTCCGGAAAAATCGCTGGTGGTAATCGATTCCCCAAAGAAGTTGTGCGAGGGAGAAAACTTCTTCTTAATCACAGTGGTGGACCGCCAATCATCCAGATGGTATGAATGGTATCACGAGTTTTGTCGCGATGTGCGATGGTGAAATTGAGCGGCTGTAATTAGTCCGAACAATTCCTCAGAGCACTCCCCGTGATAGATGCGATAACATACGCAAAGAGATGCAACATCTCTACGCAGTGCCAGTGAGTCAAGCCGATCGGAAAGAACTCAGTCGTCGACGATTCGAACCGCTCTGCGCTGGATGCGGTCAAGTGGAAGGAGCGCACTGGGGAGCCCCTGCCCAGAGATGGGAACAGTATTCCATGTGAGGCCGAACCTGCGCCTTGTAAAGTTGCAAGCGGTGTGCCGGCATGAAATACTGTCCCGCTTTTCTGAGCACGCCAAGCTTTTTAGAGGCCAATTTGGCCTTCTCTTCCAAGTGACCACGAAACTGCACGTCACTAGATATGTCGACACCGAGGATTCCGATACTGGCTGAGGCAAGAAGGGGAGTGCCTTGAAACTGAGGAGATACGACAAAGGGGTTCTTTTTAGCGGTAAACGCGGAAACTTGTGTCTTCTGGGGATTGAACTCGACTAGATTGAGTCAACCCAGTCTGAGTTTGTTCAACAAAGTCTCAACTTCAGACACAAGTTTGTGCCGGTACTCAGCGACGTTTTCCCGAGAAATATTGGCACGGCCGGAGTATAAAGCATCACCAGTGTTGTCGTCCGCATAGCAATGAATGTGAATGAAAGGTTTGCAACATATCATTGATAAGCAGAAGAAACAGCACTTCCTGCATGGATCACTCACACCGCGGGATGGTCGGCGGTGTGTTCCCCTCGTCATCTAGAGTCGAGTTGGAAGCAAAAAGAGAGCCTAGCAGATCGGCTTTCTCTTTTGCGTCATGGGCCAGTGAGTCGTCCAACCTTTGCAGAGATAGCAGAGATGACTGACAAAAGTTCCCTTGGACAGCCTTGGCGAGAGACCAGAATGCACCTGTTCCCGAAAGGGAGGCGAACTAGTTTCTCGGCAATTCTGCCGATGTGCGCTGACTTTGCCTCGGCAATAACACTTTTGAAGGACCTGGAGGCGGAATTATACGTCTTTTTAAGAGCGCTGGTATTTACATCCCGGAACGTTGATGCATCAGCCCAGGTTCGGTAGCACTCCTGCTTATGAACCACTTATAAACCATGGCTGATTTCTGCCTCCGATAGGCACCACAGATGATGGAATAAATAATTCCATTCCCTGAAGTACCACATCAGCGACAGAATTAGCAACAACGTTGGGATCATCCGGCGACAAGCAAACCCGCCCCTAAGGGTAAGATCCAAAAAAGACCGCATCCCATCCGGCCGACCTATAGTGCCAAACACGTCCGGCAAGTTGCAGATCGCAACTGCGATGGGAGCGTGAGTGGCACCGTACTCCGGATCAGACAATGGTCCGAAGAGCCCAGAGGGACATTGACGGAGACCTGATATCCGTTTAGCAGAAGGTCCAACAGGGAAGGTACATGATCCTCCACATCTGGGATTCGCGTAGGCGAAGTAACCAGTTGTGTTAGACCATATGCCAAGGCAAAGTCATAGACAGATCTACCCGCATGATCGGTTAAACGGGAACAAAGCCATTCAGCGTGGTGGGCGTTAAAATCACCGAGTATCACGATCTCTGCGGATGGGATCTGTTGTAGCACGGAGTCTGCAGCCATTTTGACGTGGTCGATGAGTCGGTCTGTCGGCATTACCGCTATGGGACCTATAGAGGCACCCGTAGACACGTCGTCGCTGTCTACGCATAACCATAGGATGGACAGGTCTTTACCTTCAAGACTGCCGAGGCGTCGAAAATAGATGTCCTCTCTGACGTACACGCAAACTCCAGCCCGGGGCACAAACGAGTGTTCTAACTTGTACCCCAGGTGGGAGAGATACGAAGTATCAGCCGGAGAGGACACCTGTGTCTCGGTCAGGCCGGCGTTGCTATCTCCAGATGGTAGTGGACGGCGTTAAGGTTTGAATGAAGTCCCCTGATATTGCAGAAATCCACGGAAAGGCGTGGCCTCCTGGGGTAGTGTTCCTTTTAATTCCGCTACCATGTTGATGGGGGGAGGGGGGGGATCAGGCCACCGGCCGCCTTCGCTCACCAGGCGAAATACAGAAGTAAACTTCTACTTCACGCTGGTATTCTGTGAGGTAGCGACTCACTCGTCGAACATGTGAGTGCCATGTCGTCGAACGTACTACTGGAAACTACTACTACGCCAGAAACAATCTACTGCTGAATACAAGTTCAATAAAAGTCACTTTTCCGCAGTTGCAGTCATCGTAACTGCTAACTGCAACATTTGGACGATTGCTTTTTTTATACGATAAGGTGACAAACGAGCACACAGTTCACCTGATAGATGTAGATGTCTATGGGCCACAGCAACCACACCATCAGGTGGACTCTGTGCTCGTTTTTCACCCTTATCTTTAAAAAAAACACAAAATTAATTAACAACATTTATTAAATGTTTGTACAATTTACACATAACACCGATTGCATTGAATAATAATTTGAATTTTACATAATTTCAGTGCAAAGAAAGCTATTACAAAAATTTTAAATATACTGCGTCAAAAATTGATAGTGATCATGATACTATACAATACAATAATATTCTCATAAAAATATTAATATTTAATATTACAAGATGCAGCACTTATATACTATAGAAGTATATCATTAAAATATTATTTATACAACCTTCATAATAAATAAGTGCAATATTTTTCAATAATAACAGCCATTCACAAATAAATTCAATATTATAATTACAATTCCTTTAAAAAGGTTTTAATGAGTCTTATGTGCTTTTCGATATATAACAGGTCCATAGACTTATGTAACAGGTCTGTGTTTAGTACAACCTCTACCCTCCACAGTACACATATTTCATCTTCATCTATTAACCATTTTTTATATTCCAAAGAGTACAATCCATGCAGCCCAGTGTTTTTATTGATTTCTTCACATTATGTTAGCGCTCTTATAATGTGCGTGTATTACTTTAAACAGACGAAGTCAATCAATGAAAACAGTTGGGTGTGGCGTACAAGGGAATTTTTTTTTTACATTCAATTATTTTTACAAACAATAGATTTTTAAAAATCATTTTTCGTTTATCAAAGTCAAATAAAAATAGTAAATTTTGTCACGAATTACAAAATATTTATTCATCTATAATAACAATTAACAAAACACAGGTATACAAAGAGGCATAAAACTTGTATGAAACACAGACCTGGTTTTTAATGTACGTAGATTACTAATGTATTTTTCAAATAATAGAAAATG